TTTAGGGTGTATTGAGACGAGTCTCAATGAAAGCAGGGCCTAGGTCACAGAGCAATAGATAAGTCTATTAATTATTTGAAAATTAGTTAGTCATATTGTGATAGAGAATAAAGCCAATGAGAACACTTGACTAGACTACAAACATTAGCTTATGGCTTACAAACTTTCTGTCGGGGGCCCCAATTGACAGTAAAGGTATAAGACGAAGTTCTTAATAACTTGACATTGTGGAGATGAAAAAGGGGTATTATCTAGGGGCACCAACTATATAACTCTTTTTCTTCTTGATAAAATTTTTAAAATTATGAAATCATTCTTAGTTGTACCAAAAGAGGGAATAATCTTCTATCTGAACTATCTTCTATCAAAATTTTCAAAATATTTTCACCAAATGGAGGAACAAATGAAATGAGAAAAAGAATATTCAAAAAACGCCAATGACAAAATCTTTGAAACCATTTTCAGTAGGACCAACAGATAGAGTAGGGACTATATTATGTATAATGGAATATGCCTTTTTTCTGAAAAATCAAAGCGATGGAAAATAAGAATCAACAGATCTGGTGGATGTGATATTGCAAGAAAAGCCAGTTGTCAGCGGAAAGAGTAAACATCTTATCTTATCTTACCAACACCTCAATTCACATACAGGAATTTTCATCAATATTCAAGATTTATCTTTCTTGATAAAGATTCTTGTATCTGAGTTGAAACGTTGTAGAAATTAAAGAAAGGAGTAGTATATCCATAATAGTGTTTAATATTTATTTAATATTCTATCTTCTTCTAATGTCATTTAAAGATTACTATCTGTCTTATGTACCATTCATTCGTAATCATTCATGCATCCTTCCATTATCGTTTAATTTGAAATTTTCACAAATACATTACACCCCTAAAAAATTTTCAGGTTCGAAATGTTGCGAAAACGGACGTGTTAATAAGAGCATAGGTGCATTATCGTGTTGTGTATGTAAAATATAAAACTATCGAGAAATGTCGGTTGAAAAATGTCAAACGTTCACCCGATAACTTTGTTTACGATGAGTATACAGGCACATATATACCACAGGCCTACTAGACGAGTTTTATCATATTATATATGTTTATTACCTTAATATGTCATTCATCAAAAAATAAGGACGTGGGAGCATTTCGCGTAAGGGGGGTAGGGGGGTGGGGGCGGAAGAGCGAACGCCTTGTTACGGATCAGAAACAGTATGGCTGCATATGGTTTTACAAATAAAAGAAGCAAAAAGGGTAGTAAATATCTCTCTGAAATGCATTTTTTTTTTTATGATAAATATTGAAACTTGGCTTTCTGGTCTAGATCGTTAACTACGATTTTCCTAGTAGACGACATGTTCCTTTAGCAACGGTTCGATAAAAAGATAGATGGGAAAAATATTCGTACCGTTGCTAATGGAACATGGTTAGACGGGTACCAACAAATGGCGAATAAAGGTTACCTGGGACGCGGGGTAATATCAATTTTCTATGCAATATTTTGAAAATTATACGACACCAAAGCACCCTTTCGCCTTTTGATTTTAATTTCACTTAAATCAACACGAAGTTAATTCTAAAATTAGCCTCTTCTATTTTGAAGCTAATGTTATACATGAATCGGTAAGATATGAACCACCACAGTCTATGGGTTGTTACACTATATTATAGTATTATATAACACTTAAGTTGAGATTATCCAGCGTGTTGTTTATGAAGGAAAGGAGCCACCTGATGCTAATAAATCCATAAATAACCTGGTGTAAATAACACCGTCAGGTCAATAACATATCAGGTGTTTCTTTCAATTTCCATCACGTATTACAGCCGATATAATGTACTTAAAGCAATAAATGTAGACAAAGTACACCACCCTCTGGAATATGCTCGTAGAACTTTGGATTGGGAGGTGCCGCCTTCACATTCATCTAGGGTTGGTCAGTAAAGGGCAGCCCCCTCTGTCTCCCCTTTGGCTCCGCCTCTGAGGGTTAGGTGAGGTCTGTTGTTTCTATCCACAGAGTAAGGTGATGTTTGGTGAGAATTGTACAACAATGAGTCACTCAACCCACATTTTGGTGCTGTATTTTGTTTCTCCAAACAGACAATAGAACACATACAACAGTTGACCACCTTACGATATATACGGTTGGGATATTAGTACGTTTGTTCCCAATATAAACTGTTATACAACAACGGTTTTCTGTGGTCAGAATGAATTGCGTCTGGTTTGCGAGTAGTATTTTATCGCTCATAAAAGAAAGTTCCAAAGTTATTCAATGAAATCGACATAGAGAAGATATATGAATGTTGTTTACGAATTACAGGTTGATTCAAGATGATCTGGCAGCCTCGATAACATCCGATCTTGGTCTATCAGGTGATGTCGACCTTGTAAGTTCGTTAAACCGACATAATACGAGTACAACTTCATTTACTATAACTTTATGAAGATTTATGTAGCCCCTATCTCCCATCCCCCCATCCCCCTAACCTTACCTATTTAATAATTTTTAGAAGCGGCTGGTCTTTTGAAAGAGAGAGTGTTGACCCCAAAATGGACTCAGATTGGCGCTTGTTTCTTTTCTATTAGTAAGATTAACCGTCTTCTGGAGAAAACAATCTCACTCAGTCGGAGACAAAACAAGGTGGTTGCTAAAGGGAACAAGGAACAAGTCGGACAGTTAGGACGTCTATGAAAAAAGCTGTTTGTTGGCCGCCTTATTTTATTTAATGCTTAAAAATAAAGTCCAACAAGTTTAGTACTTGAAGTATGGAATCCAAGTTATTATTCTTGAAAGATATCGGAACACCTGTATTTTCATTATCTTCTCAGGTAGTCGACTGATGACGTAATAATGTTCTGGATATTCTGTTTTTCTGCCCGTCTTTATACACTGATATCAAACCTTACTACTGAGATGAGAAACATCATTCTCCTCGATTGGTCTAAACTCGGTGGGGTTTTAGAATCCAAACCATGGATTGTCCTTGACAAAAGCATTTGTCAACGAGAACGCCGTCACTTAATCGTTTATGTGAACATTAAGTTCTTCTTGTAATATTCTAGGGATGTTCAAATAATACCCCAAAAAGGTGGAGGGGTGCGGTCGCAAGAGAATGAGGCGTTATCCCTTTTTTTTTTTATCCCTTCTGATCTTTACATCGAATATCTTGCAAACTCCTGATACAAAGATAAACCAATACAGAGTCCATGTAAGAGGCAAGAGATGTGAGCACGGGTGAAACCTAGCCAGAAATGGGCTAGAGAGCATATTAAAGTCGAGAAGAAAGTCTGATATAAGTACAGCCGAACCGACAAATAATCTTGACTTAAATGTCAAATCTTTATTTTTAGGTGTGATACCGATATTGAATAAGATCTCGTTTAGAACAAGTCGAACAAAATAAAACTTGGTAGATCTATACAACTTCAGTCACCATGGAAAATTTTCTGTTATAGCACATCATAGCACAATAGCAAAATCAATTCAGAACAATTACATCAATTCATTAATTCTTTAAAAAAAACTCAAATTTCAAACAATTAAAAAAATATGCTAAATTGATAAATATTTGTACATTGTACATTGCATACATTTACAAAGTTTAGAATTCAAAAATATCAAAAAATAGAAAAAATATAACATTAATGGATAAAATATTGAAGTTATCATAAAGACCCAGTGCACCCGTTCCCAAGGTGTCTTTGATAGAACATTGCTGTAATGTATAGAAAATGGGATAATTGATATAAGGTTACTATGTAAAATACTATAAAATGATTTATAATAAATTTCATTGAGATTATTTAGTAAAGAGATAATTTCACCCTGCACTTGTTTTTACATCCCCTTTTTTCTAATGTGGTGGAAGAATGCAAGAAACCCTTCAAGAAGCTCCGTGAGAGACTTGCTACTACGTTCCAATTTTGAATTCAGCCTTGACAGGTGTCACCCCATTGAGTCATTCTGCCCTCTATTTGTACCCCCAGTCTCAGGAGGCTGACACGGCCCTTGTTCTCCTTCTCCCTTATCAACCACCCCACAGGATATGTATAAATGATGCATACTGTTTAATTTTCATAGAATCCATCAATAATTATGAATCTGCCCCTGAAAGGAAACTGAGCAATGTTGGGTGTTCCCTTCCTCTCCCTTTCCTTTTTTGACCAACTTCACACTAGTAAACAAGAAATATATAAAAATCTACAGAGACTATTGCACATTAAGATTGAAATAAGAAATCAAATTAGGACTGTAAAACCAAGCAAAGAGAATTTAACAAAAAAATCCATTTCCAATCAAAATTCAAAACTTGTTCATTGGCATTCATCATTCATTCTTCTGCTCATGCATATTGAGTATTTATTCATTTTATTTATTGTTACTGTTCACATCTTTCACTGTATTGAAGCCACAGAGCGGCTTAACGTTCCGTTACCAACATATTCCTCAGCCATTGTCATTATCCACTGAACGGGCCACGTCATATCAGCGGAGAACTGACGGCAACACGTTTAACAAACTGTGTCTCAAGGCCGGCAGTAAACGCCTGTTATCTGTGACAACTCAAGGGAGACAACTACAGTTTTCAACTCCTACAGACTACAGACTACAATACTACAATTCATCATCTAGTTTCCCAGATTCCTTGATATCTGCTACTTGATCTTGGCTATTATTTTCAGTGTCTTTAGAACTATCTTTTTTATGGACTTTAACTGCAATGTTTATATTTGGCTCGAATTTGGACTCGTCATTCTGAGAGTCAATTTTAAGTGACTTCTCTGAGTCATCAATTGGATCTGGACTCAAATCTGAGTCACTATTAATTGGGTCACTATTTTCTTGAGATACCATTGACTCATCTTTTGAGTCAGAATATTTTGAGTCACTTTCATTTTCTTCCAAATTTTTTGAATCTTTTTCTTCAGAATTTTTCTCTTCCTTTTCTGCTGGGGGCATCAATTCTGATAATTTGGATATAAGTTTCCTAGCCTGTGAATGAGCTAGTTCTTTATAATTTGGATTCATGGTGAACCATAAAGCTAAAGCACATCGTTGCCCTTTTGTTACAGCCTTTACTCCATGATATTCCTTAGAATCAAATCCTACCAGTCTTCCACACTGCGGTTTTACAGAAACCTGCAAAAATAAATGAAAATATTGCTGAAACTTTTCATTAATTTTTATTCTCCCTCTAAATGAAATTTTCTCTTTCTTTTGTGGCCATTTCCACAGTTTTTGAGTGAAGGAAATGCAAATGGATTTTATTATTTTTTGGCAAGTCTAATACATACCCACCCTAAAAGTAATCCATCAATAACCTTCATGTACTTATTAAAAACTGATATGTAATGATTCTCAATCGCCATGGAAATAAATCTGATGTATTTCACCTAGTCACCCTACCTTTTCTGATTTATCTGATCCTGCGAAGAAAAACTCTCCCCCTTCAAACTCATCATTTAAATACAGGATAGCACTGGAATAGATTTAAAATATTTAAGATATAGATTCTAGATCCAAGAATAAACTGGTTAAATGTATCCCAATTGTTAAGATTTTTTCCAGTCTTTGTATGTTTGTATTTATGGCTTCTATTTACACCATTCTGATTTGTCTTTGTAGGTGTATCTGAGACACCTATAGCTTCTATTTACACACCTTTCTCCAATCACTCCCCACCCTCAAATCTCTCACCATCCACAATCACTACCATACCTGTAATCTTTCCCCACCAACAATCCTTCCCCACCCTCAAATTTTTCCCCACCCACAATCACTACCGTACCTGTAGTCTTTCCCCACCCACAATCACTACCGTACCTGTAGTCTCTCCCCACCCACAATCACTACCGTACCTGTAGTCTTTCCCCACCCACAATCACTACCGTACCTGTAGTCTTTCCCCACCCACAATCACTACCGTACCTGTAGTCTTTCCCCACCCACAATCACTACCGTACCTGTAGTCTTTCCCCACCCACAATCACTACCGTACCTGTAGTCTTTCCCCACCCACAATCATTACCGTACCTGTAGTCTTTCCCCACCCACAATCATTACCGTACCTGTAGTCTCTCTGTGTAAAAGCAGGGAAAGCTTTCAGACAAGTTCCATCAGGTTGAAGAATACAATTATCAGCATGTACAGGATGACTTAAATCATCTCTTTCTTCATCTCCTAGAAATTAAACACAAGAACCAGTGATATGACATTTGAAATAAACATTATTGAAGTCAACTGAGAAACTGATAAAACTGCCTATTGGTACAGAATTTGAAAAAGTATCTTTTGGGAGCCAGTGAAGATAGAAAAAGAAAGTTAAATTTCCAGTTTGATGTATATTTGGAGGGATTATGCAGTTTTGAGCAGTTAATAATTCTAAAGACTATTTACATTCAAAGCCAAAATCCACTCATGAAAAATGCTGGTTGTCTCCCTTTAACTATAAGTCTGGGCTGCAGATGCATTAAAACTCACCTTCAATAGCTGTTCTACAAACAAGATGAGTAAAATCAAAATATAACGGTCTCGTTAAATTAAAATATTTCTCCACTACAAAACGACCTTTCTCAGCCAGGTCTAGAAACAAGACAACCTCTTCTGGTGTAACTTGTCGATGGTAAGCTAGCTACAAACAGAACAAAAAACATTGTAAATAATAAAGGAATAGATCTACCTTTAGAAGCTGAGAGCACATATATTCCTTTGAAAAATAATCAAAAACATCAAATCTTAAATTCCTAAACCTTTTGACCCTTCTTTGCCTTAAACCGAGTACACTCTCTGCTTGTACAAAAATAAACTAAAGAAATTACAATGAGATCTTGAAAATTTATTTAAAATTAGGTGATTATATCGTAAGCAAACATTTAAATTAAATGTGAACCTAATGAAAAATTAGATTGAAAATAAAAATTGGACTGAAAGTAAAAATTGTCAGAAATGACTGAGATATATTCATGCTAAGTATAGAGTAGAAATACAAACCGAAGCTGCCCTGAGTACTGTTAAACCAATAAAAGTTTCATATTCCGTGTGAGGTGAAATCACCGAAGGTTTAGACGTTAAATAATCGTACCCATCACCATTTATAGCCTCTTTCTATTTATAGTAACAAATATACCTTATTATTTAGATGTTATTAGAAATAGCGTCAGGGATGCAAAGCAGCCAAAGTTAAAAGCAACACTACAAAAAGCTTGCTATATGTTATTAATACTGGCTACACCAAGGAAACTGAGAGAAAAAAGAAAAAATAAATCTAACAAGCGTAGAGCAAAGATATTTTTGCAATAAAAGTAAATGAAATTCATGTTAATTTTGTTCATCATCACTTCTCTTCATGTTTACGTTTTCGAATCAGCAAAAAATCTTTGCTCAAATTTAGAAGAGAAACACAAGCACTGAGCACAGTTTATACATAAAAGCAGGATATAGGCAGACAAGGCAAATCCAAATTAAAATATTACAAGCAAATGAATTCACAAAAAACATTACTACTCCCTCTATAGAATTCACAATAACACAAATTGATTAATCTGTGTCCAGAAAGAGCGTTATAAATTGTGTTATTTTGAAGTGAGCACAGATATTACGAGCGACCCTTGTTTCACAAATGGTTTCCAAATGTTTTTCGCAATGGTTTCGCAGTGTTTTACAAATGTTTTACAAATGTTTTCCAGATATGTTACCAATGTTTACAAATGTTTTCCAGATGTTACCAATGGTTTCCCAATGTTCTACCAATGTTTTACAAATGGTTTCCCAATGTTTTACAAATGTTTTCCAAATATGTTACCAATGGTTTCCTAATGTTTTACCAATGGTTTCCCAATGTTTTACAAATGTTTTCCAGATATGTTACCAATGTTTACCAGATATGTTACCAATGGTTTCCCAATGTTCTACCAATGTTTTACAAATGGTTTCCCAATGTTTTACAAATGGTTTCCCAATGTTTTACAAATGTTTTCCAAATATGTTACCAATGGTTTCCCAATGCTTTACCAATGGTTTCCCAATGTTTTACAAATGTTTTCCAGATATCTTACCAATGGTTTACCAATTTTTTCCAAATGTTTTACAAATGGTTTCCCAATGTTTTACAAATGTTTTCCAGATATCTTACCAATGGTTTCCCAATGTTTTACCAATGGTTTCCCAATGTTTTACTAATGTTTTCCACATATCGTACCAATGGTTTCCCAATGTATTACCAATAGTTTCCCAAATGTTTTACAAATGGTTTCCCAATGTTTTACAAATGTTTTCCAGATATCTTACCAATGGTTTACCAATTTTTTGCCAATGTTTTCCAAATGTTTTACTAATGGTTTTCCAATGTTTTACAAATGTTTTCCAGATATCTTACCAATGGTTTCCCAATGTTTTACAAATGGTTTCCCAATGTTTTACTAATGGTTTCCACATATCGTAACCAATGGTTTCCCAATGTTTTACCAATGGTTTCCCAATGTTTACCAATGTTTTCCAAATGTTTTACTAATGGTTTCCCAATGGTTTCCCAATATCTTACCAATGTTTTACAAATGTTTTACTAATGTTTTACCATTAGTTTTTCTATGTTTTACCAATGGTTTCCACATGTTTTGGTGTAAATTCAACCCTACCAGTCTAGAGATATAAAGCCTGTCACCAGATTAATAAAGCTATATAAGATATTGAGCCTCAGTGGAATGGTGTAAATTTAACCTTACCAGTCTAGAGATAGTTATAAAGCCTGTCACCAGATCAATAAAGCTATATAAGAAATCGGAGAGCCTCGTGGTATAGATACCTCAGTAGTTCGGTGTAAATCTAACCCTTTAAACAACTCATGATCAGTGAGAGGCTTAGTAGATTTATAGCCATCCCCTAACCAACCATTTTTCTGAAACAATTTTCACATAAGACATGTAATATATACAGGAGAAAGTTTTTCAACACACAGTCAAAGCATATTTGAAAAATACTCCCAAAATATATGAGATATTACAAGAGATATAATCTAGTTATAAAGCAAGTGCTTTTCTAAATGATTTAATTAATTGTTTCTCATACAAAATTAATATCATTTTCATAACATGCTTTTATATCTTTGTGTTTGTATAGGGCTTTGAAGCAAGATCACAATTGATAAGAAGTTTTTGATTTGGAGAAATGTATATCTAACATATTTCAAGATATGTTACTCTTGCCACAGTACATGACAATTTTACAGGAATTCTGTTTCAGAACAGAACATATTTTGTGTTAGTTAGTTTGGTTGCATGCAATTACATATCGTTTACCAAGACAAGTAGGCTAACCATTCAAAAGTGTGTAAGAAGGAAAACTTTAAAACATCAAGATGCTCACTAATATTTTGAAAGTTGCACAACCTTTGTTTTTTCATTCTCATGCTATTGAATACAAGCGATTTAGTTAGTAAATTCATTCATTTTTATCATCATGATTTTTTTAAATAAAATCTTAAAGGGGAAGCCTGAGTGGCCTAGACATATGACTAACAATTTGATTGATCAATTATAAGAGAAGGTTTTATTGGACGAGAGTTTTAGGTTTTAGTTTTTTGTTGATTTGCAGGAGAACTACACCTCAGATTTTAATCTGAAAAGAGCTTTGGATGGCTGAAACTGAGCTCTATCAGATGACCGTAATAAATACTTATACAAATAATTATTAAAACAAATATTCAGACTCGTATGTATATCCCTTTAAAATCTAAACCTACCTTTACTAGATTTTGTAGAGTGGTACAATCCTGATCATTGGTCAAACCATCGGCAACAAAAGCACTATAATCTTTTAATTCTTTACTAGTCAATGTTATAGTTGTTCCTGTAATCATATTATGATACTATGGTCAAATCATTTTTTAAGACATTTTAATACTTAAAAAAAATAAGTTGTGAGCTGTAGTATATCATTAAGTTAATGGACAAACCTGTTTTTCAGTGAAGTTACACATTGTCATTTATATAAGATATGATAAATATTGTTTATTGATCATGACCTCAATAATCAAAAGAGATTTTCTCTTGCAGCTTTGTTTCATTTAATAAAACTACATTGCAGAGAAGGGAAATAACTTAACAATAGTTTGTCACAACATATGCCTTTGTATATAGTTTCTAAAAAAATATTAACAAATTTAACATAGAACCTAACCAACTTTCCTTCAACATTTTTCTAATAAGTGGAAACTTATTCATTAAGAATTTCTCAATCACATGACATTTTGACTGACAGTTCTAAATAAGTTAGATCATATCAATTTGAATTTTTTGGTTAAGAAGTGGGCACAGTAAATTCCCTTCTGACGCCCACTTCTTAACCACCCAAATTTCACTTATTATGATCTATTGTCTTGATTGCAAAGACTAACAGTATTATTTTGAGGCTGCTATTCCAATTCTCATAAAAATATTAGAAAAAATTTTAAAAAACTTTTTACTTTGCTCAAACAATAACACTTTATATTTTTATAATCATTTTGTTTTTTTAGATCTTTGCACTACAAGTATGAATTTCCCTTTTAACATATTAACCTCGACAATCATGAACATTGCTTTAACCCTGTGCCAGTGCCTTCTGTTGGATAGTAACTAGTTACCTTTCAACCACCCTAATCTCTACATATACTTCTAAAGTAACATTACCAGTTATCTTACCATTTTTTTCCAGTTCTTTCATTATTTCTACATTATTTTTCTCTGTCATTAATTTTTTCTCATCTTCAAATAACTGTAGAGCTATCTGAGTCTGAATATAGGCTTTTTCTTCCTCCTTTTTATCTGTGGTATAAACTATAACTACTGCACATCTCATATCAGACTGGTTGATAGTTACGTTATGTAGATCATCTGTTGTCAAGCCAACCAATCTTCCACACTGACTTGATACATTTCTCTAGAATAGACAGACAGTATTAGTGAGTGAGGATATGAATTGAATGATGGGATATAGAATGAATGAATAAATAATGGAATGAATGAATGAATGGTCGTATATATCGAATGTGGAATAAATGAATGAATGATGGAATGAATCATTAAATGAACAAACAAACCACAGCATTGAGCTATGAAAAAAATTCTAACATGACAGCAGCAAATGCACACTTGTTCCAAATTTTCAAATTTCCAAATCTTGAGGGATATAGTGAACACGACTAAAAAACAATAAACAATTAAAGTGGCAGTGCTCGCCATTTACATATCTAAAGGTGTAAAAAATTTGAAAATCATAACCAAATGAAACAAGGACTACAATATATATTGGAGAAAATATCTATTTAATTCCTGTTTTTCAAGACGATGGCAATCACTTCCCCTTTAATAAAATAATCAGAGTTAAAATAAAATACTCACTGATTTAGTTTTATTGGTATGTAAGAAATAAATATCAGCTCCTTTTATATTATTTAAAAACATGACTGACCTGAAATATAGAATATTAACATCTTAATAACATAACAATTACCAATTATCATTGGAGTTCAGCCTTGCAAACTAATAGACTCTCTCATTCTACTAAACCAACAATACCAAACCATCCTATTGATTCTTCTTTAAACTGTTACCAAATTTTACCAACAACTACCTTGTTTATGTCAGAGCAGCGTTGACAAAATGAGTTAGAGGCTTGCTCACTAAACTGAAGATCAAGGGTTATTACCCTCAGATTACTTAACCTAAAAGTCGTGAACAATCAAACTGAAAATTTCACCCAATACTTACATATATTCTGATTTTATAGGAAGATCTGTAACTTTCTCTAGACAGCTTCCATCTTCTTGTGGTAAACATGTTCTATTTAGCTGCCAATCTGAAATTACAGTTCATTATCAAATTCTAAAGCTAAGATTCCATATACGTGTTATGCGGATGCTTCATGCGAACATAAACGTAAGCGTTATCTTTCTTTTGACGCACAGACTTCTAGACAGATGGATGCTTTGGTGCAAAAAAAAGACAGGGAATCCCCACATAATACGTCACATTTGGGAGATCTCAGCGCGGAAAAAATGGCTACACCTGGCGATTTTTTTTTTGACGCATGATGGATGACGCATGACAGATCCGCATGACGCATATATGGAATCTTAGCTTAAATCTGGTAAAATCCCATATTTTCATTGAAAAAAGAAGACCAAACTTTATAATCTTCTTTTTCTATTAGCTTTTATTTTTAACATACCCATTTCAGTTGATGACAACGTCAGCCAATCAAATTTCTGCCCTCTCCAATCCTGGGATTTTGTGATGCGAACAAATAGTGCATTCAGTATCTAATTTTAGTTAGACCGTACATATATACTGGTAATTCTTACCTTGTGTTATTTCCCAGCAGGTTATAACAGTACGTTTAAAATATAATGATGTTAAATTATGGTATTTCTGCATGTAATGTCGACTGATTTCTGAGGACCGTAATAACAGACGTAAAGAGACTTCTAGTTCTTCTTCATTCTCTCCAAATTTCTACAAAAAACATATAAATATATAGACACAGCTTTATGGAACAACAATCACTGGTTAAAGTTTTATGCAACGTTTCGACGTGTTTCCCCCGTCGTCCTCAGGCACATATAAATAGATGCAAGTTGAACTCGCTTCATATTCAACACTGGTATCTATACATAATCTAAAGTCTTTAAATGGCATTTAGCAGTTGTAAGCACAATTTATAGGCACAGCTTTATGGAACAACAATCATTGGTTGCTATGTTTCGAAGTGTTTCCCCCGATTCCCTCCGAAGGCACATGAGGAGAATGGAGGAAACACCTAGAAAAGTTGCATAAGATACTATACATAATCTGTTCATACCATATGTAGTCATGTATATATTTCAACAATTTGTACATCAAAGTTTTGTGTATATAGCAAAGATCCTTAAATACCATCCAGAGTAAATATCATAGCCTACCTGTTTCAAAAATATAATAAATATTTAAATTTACCTCAAATATATCTTTAATAGAAATTATTCGAGAACCATTTTCATTGGTAAAATAATCCTGAAACAAAGTTATCTAATAATATATGATAGTTTTATCTGATACAGTTAGATATATAAAAGCACAGGCCATGGAATTAAATTCGTATATTTCCTTAATCTCATAAATAAGTCCCTTATCGAAAAAGGCGAATTTGGGAAGAAAAAAAAAGACATAAAAAATACAGCAAAAGCGAACAAATTTATCAAAGATATCCCAGTTCTAACCTCTATCATGTATTTTAACTCTGAGCATTGTTCTTCCTTCAGGAAACCATCAGTGGCGAATCTTTTACTTCCGTTTAAATGGTTACCATTAGAGATAATCTTCAGTCCGATATCTTCATAACGTTTCATATAATGATCAGTTGGCCGAGCTTTAGAATATTTATCATACTGAAATAATATTCATCAGAACTTCAAAAACATCGCCAAATAAACTATGTTTTACAGTACAACAAAATACATCTGAAAGGATGCTAGGAAACTATTCTGCTTTCTGCTGTTAAACTGTTTGTAACTCATAATTCTAGTTAACTTCTAAAAATGTGATGGGTCAATATTGTCACTAACCTTTGTACTACATGTTTGAGGTGGTCAGGATATTGAAGGGTGTGGATACTAAGAACAGTAGATACTAAGGGGGGTAAGACTGAGGGGCAAGGGTTAATGAGATGAGGTTAATGGGAGAGGATTACTGAGGGGTTGGGGGGGGGGGGGGGACACTGAGGGTGAAGCAGATATTGAAGGGTCAGAGACTTAGGAAAGGTGGAGGCCAAACTGATGGTCTGATACCTGCCTAGAGAGGTAGGTGGATACATGAGGAGGGGATACTGAGAGGGTGGAAATTGAATTGGGCTTGGATATAATAAAGAAGTCAATACAAACCACAGTTTCAATATCATCATTAAAACCATCCTGATCATAGCTAGATTCACTGTAATCAGAGGTTGTGTGATGTTTTTTATAGAATTTTATTTCTTCTTCTAATTTCTTCTTTCTTTCCATATATTCTACCACTTCCTGAATTATAGAAAAAGTTAACCTTAAATTGCATTTAGAAATAGGAAATTTACTATATGGACTCTCTATAGAATAGAAAGTTGGGTTGTAGTCTTCTTGGCAATTACAGATTACTGTTGAATCATTTTTCAAACGCATCTTCGTTTTATGGATTTATCATAAGCAGCATGTTGGTGGGGACATAAATTTGTGGATTCCAAAGTTTTTCCAGAGTACATTGATTTTTTGGAAATTCGGGTGTCTTCATTATATGGGTACACTACCATATAACTTATATTAGTTTCAAACTTACTGGTCTAGGGTAAAAACTATCTTGATAGCCTTCCTTGATAAAAAATTTCTGGTTCCGTAACATGATATCATCTTGTGGTTTGATATAAAGAAAGGATGCTGCAGCCTCTGATGCTTTGTCTGCCTGATACACTGGAATGGAAAATATTTGATATATAAGATTTGATATAGTTTCCAATTTTTTCAGATACTTTTTTCAGAGTAAGGATAGACAAACTATGATTCATGAAAAGAAAAAAATTAGAACGAGAGACGTGACATAAATAGCGTAGGGAGAAAATGATGGTATGACTGAACTACAAAAATATCCATCTTTCCAAATATATCTGGGTTTAAAACCCCTGCACCTGTGGAGATGCGGAAAGTACCCATTTAATAGCACCTATTTTGTCTTTTTTCTCTACACTAGCTGACATATGTCCAGCTGTCAACGGTTGAAATAGAGACAGATGTTTCGCTCTACTTACATTTATAATAAGTAAACTGTAGGTAATGATAGTGTTCTGCTAACAGACCATCTTTTCCTTCAGGAAAAACTTGACTTAACTTGTCTTCACATGTATTCTGACATTTTATTACATTCAGATAATGTTCTGCAACAAAAAAGAACTGTATAAACTTACAGGTAAATATGAAACATGATGTCCGGCAGATTCTTGCCAAAAACAAACCTTTGAGCTGGTCTGTCATGCGGAAAATATATCCAAATACAGCAGTTTAACGTCCACACAGCAGACCAGTGTAATCAATTTTAGGTTGATCATTATAGTAGTTACTGACCACATATTCATTTTGACATATTTTGGAATTTGTCATTCAAATTTCACTCGGTGATACATAGTTCTATGTGTGGGGCATTGTCAGCTTAAAGACAATAGAAAGTGAAATAATTGTGTAATGACACAATACAGGCCCAGGCATGGGGTAAGATCATATCATATATCAACTGACCAGCAACAGCACTGTAGAATTCAAGATGAGACGTGGCCAGTAACGGCCCTTCACATTCACTTCGACATCGTTCTTCTTCCTTATAAAACTCTTTTAAAGAATTCTCCATCTCTTCTATTACCTCTTCCCATAATTCATCTTCATACGCCATCATTGCTCGTATAAAATACTCCTGAAATCAATGAAGTCAATATCAAATAGTGTTTACGTAACCCCAACCAGGTTTGACAGATTTGGAAGTTCTAGAAAGAGAATAATGTGAAATTACTTTGTGTGGGTGTGGCACAAGGCAGGGTATTTTTACTCTTTGTATCACCTGATATCATGTTTCATTTTGCCTTCTCAAGTTTGAATCTTTACTTTTCTGCTCTTCATTTGACTTCTGATGATAGGCATTTAGTACTATTAGACTTCAAGTCATTTATTTATAAAACCATCACCAGTATTAATGATCCAAAAAACTGGAAACCCATAATCCAAACATTATATTGGTGAAACACTGGTAGCCGTTAATGAACTTTTTATAGGAAGTATATCAATCATAAGAAAGTAAGTACTTCAAAATGAAATATTGTATCAGGTGTCTAGAAGAGTAAGCATTACCCTGCCTAGCGCCACCAGTGTCACAGCCTAATGTGCCATTACTGTATTTCAAATAACAAGTTATTTTCTTGGTGGAAAATTCTAACAACAGAACAGAATATGATAATTGTAAAACATATTCTTTATTTTATCCACAAAAAATTTTTTTCATGCCATCTGGAGAAGCAATTGACAATAAAACTACAATGTAATAGTACAATTCGTGCTGAAAAGTCATGAAAATTTAAAAAAAAATATCATTTCTAGATTCTTCTAAGACACAGTTCTAACCATGAAAAGATTCAACATAAGTTTTGACATCATTCTTTGGGTTGAGGGTCTCATTTTTCTATAATAATTTCAACAGAAGTTTTCTAAAAAAAATTTTGACAATTTTTTATCATGTTTTCTTGAAATTACTTTTAGAATAATGATTATCATCAAGTTTTATTGTTTAGAAAGAGAAGGAAACTGTAGATAACAGTCAATTGTCAAATTCTTTCATAGTTAAAATTCTGGTATGTTAAAAGGAAATACCAGATTTATACTATACAGTGTTTGATAATTGGGGGAATCTCTTTCAGTGAGTCCACTGAAGTATTGTTTAGTACGGTATATATTTCTTTGCAATATGATTCATTTTCTATCCAATATGTCTATCCTGCCTCTATTCATGAATTTCCCTCATTGACCACAACATGTTGTTGTCATTAATCCAAGAGGACGCTAAACTCCATTCATTTAGTTTCCATCGTTATGAATATTTTTATTATATGTATTATTTCTGTGATGGTAAAATTCTGGAGATCACAAACATTGCGATCAATTTGTGGAATGAAGTCCTCTAAATATTTTCCCACCAGAACAGCACCATGAATAAATGACTGCATGAATAAATGCTATAAATTAATGGACGAATGAATGAATAAATGCTATGAATGAATGAATAAATGAATGAATGAAATATAAATGAATAAATAAATAAAGAAATGAATGAATGAATGAATGAATGAATGAATGAATGAATGCATGAATGAATGAATGAATGAATGAATGCATGAATGCATGAATGAATGAATGAATGAATGAATGAATGAATGAATGAATGGATGAATGGATGAATGAATGAATGAATGAATGAATGAATGAATGAAAATATCCTTAGCATTCTGACAAATTCACATTGCAATAATACACATCATATATAACCTTACCTTATGTGGTTTTAATTCTAAATCGATAAATTCTGAATCTCTAACTTTCATTTTTTCTCGATAAAACTGTACGTTTTTTACTGCGTTTTTATTGTCAGAATTGAGGACGTAGAAAGTATAGGCAGCAGACGCAGCATCTATCATTCTATCTAACTGAAATTACAATTCTAATATGAGAAATCAGTTACTAAAAGTTACAATACAAGAGAGTCATGTAAAATATCAAGAGCTGTATCTTATTCAGAATAAGAAAAGTAGCCCACAAATGAAATATGAAATGAAATTAGATTTGGTAAAGCAACCAACAGCAAATAAATGATTGAATAAATGGCTGGAAAATACAGTCAAATAAACAGTCTAGAGCCTTAGTAAGACTTGACTGGTAAATACAGACAAATTAACAGTCTAGAGCCTTAGTAAGACTTGACAGACAAATTAACAGTCTAGAGCCTTAGTAAGACTTGACAGACAAATTAACAGTCTAGAGCCTTAGTAAGACTTGACTGGTAAATACAGACAAATCAACAGTGTAGAGCTCTAGTCAGACAGGACTGGTAAATACAGACAATCAAAAGTCTAGAGCTCTAGTCTAGTCAAACATGACTGGTAAATATAACCAAATCAAAAGTCTAGAGCTCTAGTCAAACATGACTGGTATATACAGTCAAATCAAAAGTCTAGAGCTCTAGTCAAACATGACTGGTGTATAAAATCAAATCAACAATCGAGAGACAGACGTGACTGGTAAATACAGCCAAATCAGCACTCCTGATTGTACCTAACATTAGTAACAGTCTGTTTCTAATAGAATAATGATAGCCATCTGGATACCACCATTTTTTACCTTCAAACAGGAAACCAAGGTCAACTCAAAAAGTATGTTCTACGCCCTTTTGTCTACATTTTTTTTTTAAACCACTCATTTGGTTCGATAGCATCAAACTATTCACTGAAGCTTGTAAATTTTTTGCCAGTTAAAAAATTATATGGCATTTTTTTAACCTTTTTTTCACGAACATGAGTTTTAATTGCTTTAATTAATTGTCAAATATGTTATTGAAATAGATAAAAGATAGAATAAAAATTTAATAAAAAGCTGTGAATATTAACTGAATTAAGGGTGTACACAATTTATATTGATACATACAGAAATTGTTTTGAGGATTATGTAAGCCAACCTAGATGATGTAAAGTAATTTTCGAAAATCATAGTTAATAATGGTCATTTGTTATTGAAAAGGTTAAAGTACAGATTTTCTGGAAAATAACACTAGGGTTAGTTTTGAATATCACATATAAGCCAACGTAGATAGTGTAAAGTAATTTTCTAAAATCATAGTAAATAATGGTCATTTGTCATTGAAACAGTTAAAGTACAGATTTTTGTGATCAATATAAACTAGACTAAGCTTAAGCTGAGAATTGAGTGGAAAATGAACATTGTTGTATAATTTGGTTTATGGATTTTAAACTATGGTATATTATTGTGTTAATAACTTACAGAATCCAGGTTGCTATGATCAATATTCTTATATTCTTAACAACAGTTTTAATGTCAATCATAACCATTTTCCTGCAACACCTGATCAACAATGCTAGTTCACTGTTTGTTCAATGACAGCGACTGGGGGGTACAGGGGGGTTTCCCTAAGAAAAATGGTTTGCATCTGAAACTGTAGCCCACTTTATTTTTAAGGAATTTAAAAATATGCTTTTTTTTACATTTTAACCCTAAAATATGTGTCAAAATGCACCAAGTTAATTCAATTTTTTCAAAAATTCTCATGGGAAAAGTATCCACTGCCACATAGACGCCTCCACAGAGTTATCGCATTTTGAATTCAATCTCGACAGTTGTCCCTCATTAAGTCAGTCTGTCTTTTTGTACTCCAGTCTCGAGAGGCTGATGCCATCACTGCTGTTGTTCCTGTTTAATTTTGTTTTCACTTTTATCAACTAATACAAGGAACAATACTATTTTGTATGCAAAAGAAGATAATAGCCAATAACACATGTCATCACAACAATTCAAAGATTAAAACTAAAGATTAAACAGTTATAAACAACTATCTATCAATTAATATTAATTAATTTTTTTCCATTTTGATAAAAAAAATGTCTGAATAGAGTAACCCATTCAAAAAAGCTTATATATATTTTATCATAATAGTTTTTTTAATGAGACCTTTGCTCCTAACTTTGTAAAAAGACTTCAATGAATCTTTTACAACTAGTTGATATCTGATTGGTGATATTGATAGGTGATATTGAAACAAGTTAATGAACAGTATAGTATTTTGTGATAGTAATAAAATGATATACAGAACAAGTAAATGAACAATGTAGCACTTTGTGATATTGTGATAGTTATATTGTGATATTCAAACAAGATATTATGGCTTGTAACATATCTACCTTTAAACATCAATAAAATAAATTAAATTTTCTATAATATATTATTTTTGAACATTATGACTTTTTATTGATGTCATTTAGACTTTTGACCCTTTTATTGGACCATTTTAATGAAATCTCTAAGCCATTATATATTCAAAGTAAAAATTAAAGTACTATATTGTAATCAATGTTATACTTAGAATGCAAGTTATCACACCAGAAGTGACTAACTCCAATAATATTTTTCTAACTTTATCTGATCATAATTTAAAGTTGTCAAAAATAGATGTCAGTGTGCCTATCAGTAGTGGCCAAATTTGTGTGAAAAGCTTTGCACTCAGCAATGGCCTTGGTAAAAAAAGGTGGGGTGGGGATGGGGAGAGTCCACTAGACAATTCTGTGGCTTCTTCTCTGTCCCTCCGCGTAATAATTCATATAAGTCAATTGGTACTAAAATGAAGACATTAAAATACTTACTTTAAAATAACAGTATTGTAAATATTCATAAGGTTTCCTCATTTGGAAATCGTTTTCAATAAATTCATTTGATCTTCCAAAAGCTCTGTCTTTACCCAAAGTCTTCTGTTTGCATTTCCTGATGCATTCTGATCTCAACATTATAGATTGCATCAACTCTGAGAAGTTTGTGTCATTCCTTTTTTCAATTCCATGGTGTTTACAATTCAATCGACAGTCCACCACCGACTTCTTGTAAAAATTATAGTCTTTGATGGCATCTTGGAAAAATAAGGAACATTGGTACCATTGAGCGTCGTCATACGCCGAAACTCCTTCAGAATAAAGTCGATCATAAGTGAACTCGGCGTTTTTCTGGCTCTTGCATTCCGATATTTTAAATAAACCGGCTACTATGCACATCAGATATCCCCAAACTTTCATTTTAAAAAACTTTTCACAAACTTTTTAGACTAAGTGTACAAACAACTTTGTGAGAAACTATATATATCGGCCATCGCGTACTGCCATCTGTAAACTTCTGCTGCCGACGTCATGAAGAAGGGAAGTAATACATTGTGTTGCATTGTTTGTCGTCTGCTACCTTGTTACATTGTACGCCCAACATTGATAGATTGTTGTAGAAATTAAAACTTTGTTGTAGAAATTAAAACTTTGATGTGAAAATTAAAACTTTGTTATAGAAATTAAAACTTTGTTGTAAAACTTTAAGCGCCATTTTTTGTTAACCTTTCGTAGCCTTCCTTTGGCTCAGAAATGGAAATTTTTTGGCTAAGCAAATCACTAATAGTATTCACGCCGAAATTTGAGCTTTCAAGTCCAGAATTATCTGCGTTTGAAAGTTAAAAAGTCGTGTCGTCTTTTCTTGAAAAACTGTCATACTTTTTTTTGTAGCAATTAAAATTGTGTAATAGAAATTGAAACTTTGTTGTAGAAATTATTACTCTTTAAAGAAATTAAACTGTGTTATATGAATTAAGACTTTATTATAGAAATATTACAGTGTAGAAATTAAAACTTTGTTATTGGAACGTCTGCATGAAATATGTCCATCGAAGTGAAGAAACTAGATATACGAAATATTTATATACGATATTAGCTATATGCTGACTCTGGGAGTGAGAGTCGAGCTAGAGCCTGTCACACCGTGGGCATACGCTGGCTTACTAGCGACACCCTGTACAGCACTTATCATAAATGAAGAAACGTGAAACATCTTGCAAACCATCTCAATTTTTCGAAATAGAAACCCCTCGATATTTTCTGTAAAGATGAAACTATGATACAAAGCGTTAGCAGGCGGTGTGTGGTTTAAAGAACGGTAAAATATTCCAAAAGAAAATGATTTGAGGAATTTTATGTACGGAATTTCTTATTTTAGTAGTGTTCAATTGAGATAAAAAAAAAAACCTATTTAGCACAAAACGTTCTAATATTTCCGAATTTATGTTTCTCAACAGTTATATAAGTGGACATAAATTAGTTGTGGTCTGAATCCTTTCAAGAAAAGATAACTCACTTAAAAATTTTACTGCAGCCGAGTATAAGTATGTTTAAAACGACGTCGCTGATTGGTTGGAATTGAAAACAAGATTTGTCCTCATTCCGCGGCCTTTTCAAAGGAAAAATGTAAATAATGGACAAATGTTTATGATTTGATGCATTTTTATTTAAAAAGATTTGGAGAAAATTGGAGAGGTTGCAGATAAAGAGGTTGGGAATCAGAACATTTTGTTAGTTTTCATATTGATCCTCAATGGATGTGTTTTTTGCACCGATTACCGAGGCACCTTTGTGAAACAATGACAATCAATATTGACAATCATGAATGTCAATTTTCATAATCCTCGGCCTTTTCATAATTCATTCTTTCACTTGCAGTGAATGATTGGCTTGTTAAAGTGAAATTGGAGCCTTACGTGATCCATCCATTTCTATAGTGAGGATTTTTTCTTTGATGCAAAGTGTTAAAACTGATATGACAATATTTTGGGACAATCCGATGCCCTCAACTGCCTCAAGTCTGCAATGGCTGTCTAGGCCTACTAGAAATGGTAACAAATTTTGATAGTCAAAACAGTCACAGATCTGCCAAAATGGTGTCCTTTAATTGAGAAAATTTTGATTTTTTAATTTAAAATTTCAGTACAGGTATTAGAAGTTGAAAATGGAAGAGGGTGAAACAGAAGGTGTTCATGACAGGATTGGTAAATTGAAAGAGACTCTGTCGAAACATGCTGACTATAAAGATACATCAGAGTTCTTATTGAATCAGGAGGGGTTACTGGACGGCTTTCTTTCTTTGTATGATGAATGTGGTCACGATTATTTATATAGAAATGCTAATGTCTCCTGTTTTATTAAAAAATGTGAGTACCATATCTAACATGGTTTTTAGTAAAATATCTGAGATTTTGAGTTCAGCATCCTTTGTTGAGACTTCAATATGCTCTGGTTCTGTAGTAGCGTTAGGAAAGACAATGACAAGAGGTTTGACCAAGGACCAAGCTAGTAGAAGGGAATATAGAGAACCTCAGTTGTTATCTTTGTAATAACTAGTTGTTTCTTTCTATTATCTTCTAGAACTTCTATGAATTCTATAAATTCATACAGAAGTAAATACAAACATGTTATCAGTAGATCAGACAATAGTGATTAGATAAAATCAACATTTTCATGCATATTTTATTGTGAATGAATATAATAAACATTTGATTTGATATTTCAGATAAAAACACAATAAGTAAAGTAAAAGAATTAAGAGTCAATTCAGGAGATTTTGAAGTAAAAAATGTTGTGGGACGTGGACATTTTGGTGAAGTACAAGTTGTAACTGAGAAATCTACTGGGATGGTTTTTGCTATGAAAGTTTTACGGAAAGCTGATTTGCTGTCACAACCTGATGTAAGTATAAACTTCATTAATTCATATTCTTATGACTCATATTTTATTAGCTTAGTTGTGAATTCAGAAAAGTGTCAAGCCATTTGGATGGGACAATGAATTGAGGCCTTGTATGTAACAGACTATAAATGCTCTTAAGATCGTAGCATTTTGAAAGTTAAAGGCTGCTTTCCTGGCATAATTTCTCTTATTGTCCACTGCATAATGTGACTGACTTGCATTTATCTTATCTGGACAACAAAAGTAGGATGTTTCAGCTCAATTCCATTTCATTGTTGTTTCCTGGAGAAAAACAAACTGAAAATATAATATTTTTACTTTTAGATATCATTTTATGAAGAAGAACGAGATATCATGGCTCAAGCGTCAAGCGCGTGGATTACCAAGTTACATTACGCTTTCCAAGATTCCAGCCATCTATATCTGGTGATGGATTTTCATGCTGGAGGAGATTTACTCTCACTTCTTTCCAGGTGAGTTAGGACTATTTCCACATAACTGAACAGCTCAGGGATCCCAGACAGTTACATTTTTTGATATGTTAAATTAAAATATATTATTTTTGGTCTAGAGCAAAGGCAAGGTGGAAAAAAAAGATTGATTCAAATAGAAATAAATGGACCCTCTTTCTAAAACACCTCTTACTGCAAACATTTTTAATCTGTTGTGATTTCCTTGTAAAATTCCATGCCATAAAACAAATTATTTTTGCAAGATTTGTGTGAGAAATGGAGTCATGAACCTGTCAGAGTTACTTATAGAATAACATGTCTATCTTTGTATCTGTTATTTGTAGACATGATGATGTTTTGGAAGAGAAAATGGCTCAGTTTTATTTAGCTGAGATGTCTATAGCTATTAATACATTACATGACATGGGCTATGTTCACAGGTTAGTACAGCTTGTGTTAATTGATCTTTGTCATCTATTAAATTGTTATAAGTTACAAGACAAGTTGGCACTTTTTAAATTGGACCCTCAACAATTCGTCACCTTTTACGTCACTTTGATAAGGTCATTTGATTGCAGACAGTTCAGGAATAACAAGTATAATCTAGATTGAGAGTTAAGATATTCATTGTTCATAATAAATGATAATTTAATAATCAATAATGATAGTTCAAATAATGTGCTCAAATTTCTGAGAAAAAGTCTTCACCTGTATATTCTACATTACTTAACATTACAGAAGAAATGTGGATTTAGCTTTGATGAAAAAATTGTGTGAAGTTTGATCTGTTCAGCATGCAGAGAGTTCCATTATTGACAAAATCTATTTTTTTCTCCTAGGGATATTAAACCAGAGAATATATTGATAGACCAATCAGGACACATCAAATTGGCAGATTTCGGTTCCGCAGCTAAAATGTCTGTAGACCAATTGGTAAGTTTTCAATTGAATCTTCTTTCATATTATTATTTTCATTGGCTTCTAAACATAAGGTTATAAGATTATCCTGGTTTTTTTTTGGCAGCCATTTTTTTTATATTTGCTCTTGGGAATAGTCTCTGGGTTGATAACAAATTTGTATATTTGTTTTGAAGGCTGCAGGGTTAAAATTTAATTCAGCTCAAATAAGATTCCCTGTTATTTTCAGGTATGTTCTAGGATGCCAGTGGGTACACCAGACTATGTGGCTCCTGAATTACTAACTTCAATGAATCTAGCCCGTGGTTCGAGAGCGTATGGTGTGGAGGTTGATTGGTGGTCACTAGGAATCTGTGCCTATGAGATGTTATGTGGTAAAACTCCGTTCACTGATGAACATGGCTCCATGGTAACTACCTATAGCAACATCATGAATTATTCCGTAAGTTTATTTTATAACTTTTTATTTTACATCAAGAGTCATTTCTAGCACCCAAAGTAAGATTGACATTTCCTGCCCCTGAAAAGGTTTTAATTTTTCAACTTTTTAGACTGACATTGAAGTATCACCCAATTTTTGCAAGAGTTGATTCCAGAAAAGGGGGAGGTACCGAAAAAGCTCTTGTAGGCAAACTGTGTAAGACAGGAATCTAAAATTCAGAACAAATAAACTTCTATATAAAAGGACTGCTTCTTCAACTGAAGAGGTATGGGAGGCATAGTTGTTTAGAGATCTTTGTTAGCTAATCTTGTGGTCTGGCTTTTAACCTCAATATTAATTGTCAAATCACTCCAAATATGGACTTATGGATTGCGATTTGTAAATTTTTTTTTTCAGAGTAACCTTAACTTCAATGCAGAAAATAATGTGAGTGAAGCAGCTCAGTCGTTAATAAAACAATTACTAACATCAAGAACTGCCAGATTAAGTTGGAAAGGAATAAAACATCATCAGTTTTTTCATGATTTAGATTTTGATCAAATTAGAAATGGTGAGTAGACTTGATTTTTAAGATGTGTTTATCCAGTCTTCATATGTTTTATTAGAAAAATAGGATGTATATCTCCATTCCATTTGATTATCTAGAATTTACACCATTCCAATTTTCAGTCACACGTCTATGGTTTCAGTGATAGCAAAACATTCTTCAAAAATCTGAGTCTAAACTTAGTTTATTTTGACAAATTTGATTAATACTTTCAGTTGATCCACCATTTATTCCAACCATCTCTAGTTTGGACGACACGTCAAATTTTGACGAAGTGGAAAAAATACGCCAACCACCAAATCTGGAAGAATTTAAATCACAACGAGAGTTTTCTGGGAAAGATTTGCCATTTATTGGGTTTACTTACATACGAAGCAATGAAGAAAAAGAGAAATCTGAAAAGGCTGTTGCAGTGAAATCTTCTAGAAAGTAAGTAACATTGCCAGAGGTTTCATCAAGAAAGCTCTTACTCTGTCCGTAAACACTTTGATTTGTCATTCATTTCCATTTCTATATTTCATGTGTATCTTATTGATTGTATCCTTTTGAATAATCCTAGAAAGCTATAGGACCCATTTCGTTTAATTAATTGTGTTCTCTGTTTATGATGGAGAAAAGCTATTGGAATCTTTACCTATCTTGCTCTTTGATTTTGACAGTTAGTGTATCTTGATTTATTGACAAACATTCCTGTAAAATTTTGGCTGGTAAAAAGAGTTTATGATATTTATTGTAGTTGTTGTAAATGTGGTAAAAAATCTCGGTCTATGTTAGCAAGTGGTAACAGTCTAGCTGGTGTATCAACTGAATTTATATCTAAAGGTATGTTTTAACTTTATTTTGATTATATATCAAAAATAATTATCAAAATAGACATATCACTGGTTATTTCATGAAGACATGGGTGGCACGGTCAGGAGAGTTCTTAAATAGTCTGTCTGTTCAAATGATACAGAACCAAATTATGTTACCATCAACATTTTTCCATCTATTTCTTTCTCCACCATTTTGAATTCTGTCTGCTTGGCCCATGTGGAACGCTTCCTGAACTCTGTTACAGCTTTTTTCATTATTGAACGTCTGGTTGATTCTATGAATCAATAACGTGCAGAACTCACCAATCAAGTGAACCCCAAACTGTATCACAGTAATTAAAATAACTGGTGTACTCTATTTTCAGGGGGAGATAAATCTAACGTGGAAGTGACTATGACAGTAAGAATTGCTGAGTTACAGTCTGTAAAAGAGAAATGTCATAAATTAGAGAAATCAGAATGTAATCTGCAGTCAGAGGTTGATCGTTTGAATCTATTATTGAAAGAGAAAGACATGAGTTATAGTAAACTTGAGACTGAGAAAGATTTGTTAGTTCGAGATCTAGATACTTATATTGAAAAAACTACAGTAAGTTACTTTAATATAATGTTTTTGATACTGCTGTCAGCTCTGTTAGTACATTTGTTGGTAGTTTGGGACAGCAAACTAAGGTCTTGTTGTTTAAAAAGGACAATAAATCTAGGCCCAGTGTGCTACATGTGTGCTGTGTATATTAAAGATTGAAGTGGCATTATCACAGGATCTATTGTATTTTATAGACATTAAGTGAAGAGTTGACTCAGGAATCCAGTGCCAGAGATAAACTGGAATACCAGGCTCAACAACTCTACCATCAGATAAAAGATCTGAGTTCGGATGCCAGAAATATGGAACTGGATTTATTAAAGTAGGTAATGATTACTAATTTATACAGACTGTGTGAAATAGCTCAGTCAGTAGCCTGTTTGATTGTTGTATGTTAAACGATGAGGTGTCGTTGGTTGGAACTTCAAATCCTCCTCAAGGAATGAAAAATTCTGCTGCCACGACCAGTGCTTCTGAAAGTTGACATGGTGTCAATGCCCATCACTGCACCAGACTTTAATTGGTTAAATCTTTATAAATGGTATGTCTTCTATGCCTGGGATTAACACTTACAATAACAAAAATTTGTTATTAATATAATAAAACTAAAATTTAAATACTTTTTTACCTCCCAGTGTTCAGAATGAAGAGCTCCAAGACATCATTGTTCATTTGGAAACAGAACAGAATAATTTGTTAAAACAGCTAGGACAGAAAGATCGAGAGATAACAAACCATAATGACAATCTTCAACAATCTCAAACACAAGTTAATAAATTACAGATGAAACTAAATAAGGTTTGTATCAGAGGTAGTGGGGCTTGAGGGGTAGGGAGGTCTAGATAGGATATGGAGGGGCCTGACTCTTGAAAGCACAAACATTTTGCCACTGTAAAAAGTGAAATATTGTCTCAATTCATGAGTAGTTTGAATGTAAAAACATTCATTTATTTTTAGGAACGAAGAAAGAGTCGAGATGACCAAAAGCGTGATTTACAGTTGATAGAAAGTCGGGAGGAGGCGTGGTCTCAACAAATAGACGAAAAACAGCAACAAATAGATGCATTACAATCTAGGGTACAGGTATGTCATACAGCCTGCTGTCAGACTAGTTATACCTCTCTTCCTTCACCCTTGGAATCATGACTTCCCATTGAAACTGGCAAGGGAACTAGTTTCTCAGAAATTGAACGTAGAAACATGATGTTAGTGTTCCTGTCACCTGTTCAATCAATCAATAAGATTGACTTCTAATTAAGTTTCATAAACCAGATAGCTGTATACTTAAGTCTGTGGGCATAAACAGTCCTCAACCGTTGGAAATTGAATAGGCTAATATCTTTGTCCTGGATGAAATTTTTCTTATTACACTTTGCATAGCATTGCCCATCTTCATTAGCCCATCTTCATTAGTTCATCTTCATTGCCCATCTTCATTAGCCCAATTCAGAGCAAAAAAGCATGCGAGCTTTTTTTCAGACTTTAAGTAAATTAAGTGTTCTGTATTATAATTACAGGATTTAGAAGATCTAGTGGAAGCATATGAACAACAGGAAGAAAAACATGCCAAAGATCTGGCAGAATTAAACCAAATATTAGATCTTTCCCTCCAAAATCCAACTGAAGCTAAAGTTAATTTGGCATCTCATTCTCATGAATTTAGAGACATTAAACGCTTGGTAAGTAGATTGATTATTCTAGTCTGCCTGGTGCCTTTCAAAGACTTTACTAACATAAAAACATATTCAAGTTTGGTATGTGTCATTTCAAAATCGCACTTATTTTTATTTGTATCAAAATATTTTGAGAAACAGGTGGCCTTTTTACAAAATATTAAGTAGTTGAATTTGTTGGGTTTTTTTTAAATCTTAATTAATGGTGTATTTTCAGGAGTTATTAATAACTGTCCAATCAGGAGGTAGACGATCTTTATTAAACGACAGTAAAACGGCAGCTAAAATAAAAGAGATGGAGAATTTGATGAAGAAGATGATTATTGAAGCCCAGGCTTGGAGAAATCGAGAGTCTGATCTTAAAAAATCTTTACAGGTAAAGAATTTGAAAATATTTTGATTAATAAATTCAATAAATAAGATGTAGCTTGTAGCTCATTCTTAGTAGAATGGTTGGTTAAGTAACATTGACAATTCTTTTAAATTTGAAAATTGTTGAATTATAACACCATAAGATTTTTTAGATGGCTTCACAAGTCAAAACACACATGCCATTTTGTTTCCCAACAGAGAGATCCCAGTCAGTCTTTTGTAGAGCATGTGATACATACCTGTTATTCTATGGGTTAACATTTGGGCTTTAAATTATTAAAATTTTTCTTTCATTTAGACATTTATGGATGAGATGACAAAATGTAAGAAACGTGAGGCAGCGAATTTAAAAAAGAAAAATGAAATGATGCAACATGTTCATCTTTATCAACAGGAAGTTAATGACCAGAAACAACTCATTAAGGTAACGTGATATAGCTAAAGAAAAATATGCTGTATTCATTAGAATCAGAAGGGTAGGACATAAAATTTCATTTCATTAGTCCAATTAGAAACAGAGAAGTAGGACAGAAAACTTCATTTCATTTCATTAGTCCAATTAGAAACAGAGCAGTAGGACATAAAACTTCATTTCATTTCATCAGTCCAATAAGAAACAGATCAGTAGGACATTAAACTTCATTTCATTTCATTAGTGCAATAAGGAACAGAACAGTAGAATGTAAAACACCATTTTTTTTCATTAGTCCAATAAGAAACAGAACAGTAGGACATAAAACTTCATTTCATTTCCTTAGTCCAATTAGAAACAGAGAAGTAGGACATAAAACTTCATTTCATTTCATTAGTCCAATTAGAAACAGAGCAGTAGGACATAAAACTTCATTTCATTTCATTAGTACAATAAGATTACCTTAAATGCTGAGCTAGGTGCTAGAATGGTAAAGAAACTGCTGTGTTTAATTTGTGTATATTATATTGTTTTAGGATCTCCATCAGACAATAACTAAATGTTTAGATAAAGAAGCCAATGATTCTTCAGATCAGCTGTTAAAGGTATTGTATTATTTTATTACTTATATGTTTTCTTACATTGACGATAAAAAATAACTTAAGTCTGAAGAACCCTATCTACCAAACCATGTTGAAAGTGATTTTTCTATGAAACTAACTTCAATTCTCAAGGATCCTATCTACAAGCTGGTACCTGGCAAAAACTTGATAATAATTTTAGACTGATAACAAGTGGGGGACATGATCCTTTAAAATCTAAGTTGTTATCTGGTAAAAATATTGTTTTTTCTGTCTTTTTCTTTATTCTTCCTAAAGTTTTAGACTTTTTATTCCATATATTTCAGGAATTACAGAGTGAAATACTGGATTTACGTACAGACAAGATGAAACTAGAAACAACATTACGATGTAAAACTGATGAACTAGAAAAACAGAATGAAAATATGACAGAAAAAATAAAGGTAGGGGAAAGGAGTTAGATTTTATTCTGGCTCTCTTCGTAAAGCGAAGAAACTTTTCTGAAATGGATATGATTATATGGATAACAATTACTTAAAGATGTCTTTTATATATGGCAGTGTCTCAAGAAAAGACGTTGCATTAAACTTTAACCAGTGATTATTGTTCTATAAAGCTGTGTCTAAATGAAGAACTCTTGTCAGTATATTCTATTATGAATTCAGGAGCTGGAGAAATGTCAAGGTCAAGTTGAAGAACTGAAAGAAAAGGTGAAGGTCATGGAAGACAAGGAGTTAGAACTCTCTCATTCAACCTCCATTAGGTAAATATAATAGGTCTTATGATATGATTGAATGAGTATTGAGGCTCTGAGCCAAGATAACGTCGAAGTAGCAAGACCATAAGTACTGCTTTCCGGTGTTACTGGGCCAATATAGATACAAGTGAATGTTCTATAAAAAAGCTTCAAAACGCGTTCCATGTGTGCTGAAAAAAAATAGGAGCATACAGAATTCAACATGGCGGAGAAAGG